CCCGCCCAGACCCCTGTCCGGGCCCCGCGTCCCGTCCAGATCCCGGCCCGGACCCCAGATCCCCGCCAGACCTCGAGCCCGGGCTGGGCCCCGAATCCCGTCCGGATCTCGGCCCGAGCCCAGAGTCCCGCTCAGACCCCGACTCCTGTCCAGACCCCGGCCTCAGCCTGGACCCCCACTCTCGTCCAGACCCCGACTCCGGTCCAAACCCCAACCCCAGTCTGGACTGAGACTCCTGTCCAGACCCCGACTGCCGTCGGGACTCCGACCCGGGTCCAGACCCTGACTCCAGTACAGATTCCGACCCGGGTCCGGACCCTGACTCCAGTACAGATCCCGACCCGGGTCCGGACGCCCACTCCGATCAGGACCCCGACTCTGGCCCGGATCCCAGCCCCAACCTCGTTCCCAGTCGGGGTCCCAATCACAGCCGTTGCCCCTGCATCGGAATCCTTAGGGAACCCAGCCCCACCTTTGGAGCCACCCTCAGAATCTGCTCTGGAGCCCCCTGTGTGGCCTGACAAGGATCTTTCACCCACACCCAGTGTGAAGCACTTCCCATCAGTCGCCAATGGATTCGGCTCTGTCACCCAAGAGTCCCTTCCTGCCCACACTCCAACGGCCGCTGATTTCCTGGGGCCCACCCTTGGGTCAACCTCGAGGGCAGACTCATCAGCCACCAAGTTGATGGATTCCACTCCCGATTCTATTCCCGCGCCCATCCTGGAGACCGACTCCTTCGCCACCGCTTTCACCTCCACCTTCGAGAACTTACCGGAGGACAGCAAGATCCTGATTCGAGTGATCTACTGGTGAGGGGCGTCCCCGCCCACACCTGCCTTCCTCCCCTTGGGGAAAGCCCAGAGGGGGTGGGCGCTGGGGCTTCCGGGATTTGAAGATCGGGTGAGGGGAGGGAGTCCCCACTCCCAGTTGGAAACTTGGCTCCACCTATCATTTCCTCTGGGGCTGGGGAACTGTTAGCTTCAAATCTCTGCTCTGAGCTTCATTCGTTCAGTCTCATTTACTCATTTTGGAGCGTGCTGCCCCCCGAGGGCCAGGCCTGCTCGGAGGATGGATGGAGTGCTGAACAGCGCCACCTGCTTTTCTCGCCAGGCCAGGCTGGGCCACGCAGACCCAAAGCCAGGCCCGGGAGGGGTGGGGGAATGCCAGACTGGGTGGTCAGGGATGGCCTTTCTCAGGCGGTGATGAGAAGGGGGCCTCCGCGTGAAGAGCTGGGTGTTGGGAGGGCAATCGAGGTGGCAAGGGGAGGAGGAACCGCAAGTGCAGAGGCGGAAGGAGGCTGGCTTCCGTTCTCTTTGGTGGTCCCAGAGCTGGGTCTTCTGGGTCCACGACAACAGTAACAGCAGGGACCTCCCCCAATCCCCATGTCTCTCTCCTGCTTTAGAACATTCTCTCCCCCTTATCTCTCCCAGTCTCACTCCCCCCACCCCCCATTTTTTTCTGCCCAGGTGGTCTCTCCTGCTCTGTCTCTGTCCCCAACTCACTGTCTCTTTTCCTTTCCCGATGTAAATGCCTCTCTCCCCTTCTCCCCACTTCCTCATCTTCCCCTCTTTCTCTGCCCTTCTCCTCCTTTCTAGCTTTCTTTGACTCCATGGATTCATTCATTCATTCATTCAACCACTATTTATTAAGCACCTACCTTGTGCCAGGCCCTGTCCTCGGCACCAGGGACACAGGAGTGCGTAAGACAGAGATCTCTGTCCCTTGTGGCACTCACGTTCTGGTGTGGAGGGGGCCGGAATGAACAATAAATATGGCACACAGTACATTATCTCGCATCGTAGAAGGTGATCAGTGCTGGAGCACCTGGGTGGTGCAGTCGGTTAGGCTTCCGACTCTTGATCTTGGCTCGGGTCATGATCTGGCAGTTTGTGGGTTCCAGCCCCACATTGGGCTCTGCGCTAATGGTGCAGAGCCTGCTTGGGATTCTGTCTCGCCTTCTCTCTGACTCTCCCCCGCTTGTGTTCTCTCTCTCTCTCAAAATAAATAAGTAAACTAAAGAAAAAAAAGCGATCAGTGCCAACGGCAGAAGGAATGGGGGGGGGGTTCACAATTTTATGGGGTAGTCAGAAAGGCCTCCTTGAGAAGGTGATATATGAGTAAAGACCTGAAGGAGGGGAGAGAGGGAACCATGTAGATAAGAGCATTCTGCAGAGGGAACAGCCAGTGCAAAGGCCCTGTGGTGAGGCATGCAGTGTTGGAGGAGGAGTTCCGAGGTAGGAGGGGTGGAGGCGGGGCTGAGGGTAGTCCCAGTCCTAGCTCAGCCAGTCCTCCCTGTTAAGATTGGGACAGGTCATCCACACCCTTTTCTCAACCTCAGTTTCCTCATCTGTAAAATGGGGTTGTTGAGATGATTCCATGAGATGCCTCATCTAAGGTAATAAATGTACATGTCTCAAAGAAGGGCTCAGTGTATGTCAATGAAATTTTTTTCAAAAGCGCTTCCTCCCTCCCTCCTTTGCTGGAGCAGTGGGCCAGGGAGTGAATGGAGGCAATGGGGCAGATACCGTGGG